TTGATCGATCGGAAAGGCCGGAGAAAGATGAAAGGCGAGAGAAAATATTTGTCTCTGTCACCGTCTTTCTCTCTGTTTTGGGCTCGGGTAAATTTTTTTTTTCTACTGTTTTTCTGTGGAAGGAAGGAATCATCTGACGGCAGCAGTCTCTTGCACGCGACGGCTCGGAGAAGTTGCAGTAATTTTCGATGTAAAATTCTCAATTTTCTTGTTTTTGTGTTTAGATTTTCCCGGAAATCGATCGTTTCCGGCGAGATTTTTCGTTTTTAATTAATCATCTTCCGCATGATTTCCGGTAGAAGATTTCGCTTACACGATCTGGGGGGAAAATGAATTTGCCGGTGATCTGAATTCTGATCTCTGTATTATTTTGCGTTGAATTTAATTTCTTCTTACCCTCTTTGTTATTTTGGCCGGGTGTCCAAAGCATGACTTGTATAAGTGAATAAATTAATTAATCCCCAATTACTTTATTTCAGACCTAATTCTCTATCCAGATTCCAGACTAGACTTGTTCCTCATCACTGCCAATCTGCCATGCCATTGGCAAATAGTTCTTTCTAAAAAAAAAATTCTGAGATATCCTCTATAGTCTTTAATTCATGGGAATGAGTGGTCCGAACTAAAAGAAGGTTAGCTATGGAGAAAACACTGCGATGGAGAAAGCAGATTCCCCTTCATGTTTTCCCTTCATCAGTACTGGTGATAGTGATGGAGAATCTACACGATGATCAAACAGATTTAAGGTTGGAGACGAGAAGGTAAGCTATGCAGTTTGAATCCAACTGGTGCATCGTGCATACACTACTCATCAATCTCCTGTCTTCTAGCAGCAGCTTGATCTCTCGTGAGTAAATGTGAGTAACCATTTTGGTTGAACAAGAGCAAAAGGTGGTTGAGAATACTCAGCGGCGGAGAGTCGGAGACAAATATTTTGACGAGAGAACTCAAAATTTACGCTAAAAAAAATTAAACTAAAGAGAGAACTAAAGTCTTACCAAGCTTACTATATTTTCTAAATTTATTATCATCGACGTGACTATGTAACTATCCCATTTTCGAACCATTGAAAAAAAAAAAATCCATGAGGGAAGCTCTCGCCTCTCTCTTCGACATCTGCCTGGTGGCCGGCCGGCTCCTCTTCAACGCCCTGGTACTTGTCTTCAACACCAGCGCAAGGAATCAACAATCAAGTTGGGGAGGATGGACACATGATGTAATCATGAAGGCGGCAACGAAGGAAATCCCCAAGGATCGCTCCGATTCCGCTCTTCGGTGCTCGACGATGGACCGCGGAGATTCTTGGGATCTGAGGGATCGAAAGGAACAACCGCCTGCTGCAAAGGGTACATACAACAAGCGGGCACGCCCTGCATGCGAGTTTGCTCCGATGGATTGGTACAAGCGCCGTAAGAAAAACCCCAAAAGGGGCTGGCGGTTCCTATTACCATCCTCGGCTGATTTGGAAGAAAGGATTGCCCCCTCCTCGGTGGACCTGGTTACTCTGTGGATGGATCCCCCTGCTCCTCCGGTTGATCCCAAAGTGCATGTTCACGGGACGCCGATAAAGAGCCAGGCACCGATATCCAAGCTGGATGCTTCGGCGTTGAATATTTGGAGAAAAGGCAGGAGGGCAATCGGCCTCCGGCCGTCGATTTGTGTGGTTCACTCCGCCGGAACTTCTCGGGTGCGGAGGCGGCGACAAACTCGGGATTAAAAAAAACAACAAAACAATTCCCGGATAACCATCCCTGGTTTATACGGATTCAGGAGATATTCTCCAATATTGTTCACGGTTACAGATTTGAGATTGCAGTTCCCACTCCCACTCGGACTCTGCCTCTGCAGGCTGTTCGGCTTCCGTCTAACTGTGGGTTTCTTGACGGTGCGTTGCTCTATAAATTCCCAATCCCCCGGTTGCTTTCCAGTATTCGCTGCAAAAGAGTAACCGAGGTGGACGGGGTGAAAATAGCTTCCCAGCAACAAGCTTCCGGCGGTGGTATTTCAGGTAAAACCCGGAGGCGGTATCCTGCCACCCCATCTGCTCGTGGCGTCCTGCCTAAGCTAACACCTTTCTCCCTCCCATCTCTTTCCATTGAGCCTGCCTTCCTTCTTTCCGCTTCGAGTGGACTACCTACCCCTAACTTGGTAAAACCATTGTTGGGATTGCAGGTTTCAGAGATGGCTCATATCAATGAGGATCAGGTGGTGCAATTCTCACTGGAGGAGATTCAATCCACAAAATTCCGAGCTGCACGTACCCTATTGGGGAGGGTGTTCTCGCATGCCAGAGTTACCCCTCAGGAACTAAGGGAGGGGGTGAATGCACCTTGGATGGGGAGGGGCCAGATTCGGATCACGCAGGCGAGGCACGGACTCTTTGAATTTGTGCTGCCAAATGAAGAAGCTAAGATTTGGGTCCTGAAGCGCTCCCCTTGGGTGGTGCATGATAAGCTGCTGGTGTTGCGATCTTGGCTTCCAAATATAACAAGAAACATTTTTGAGGATTTGGCGATAGCCCCATTCCGCATCCAGATATGGGGAGTTAATGAGGATTGCTGTACCAAGCAGTTCGGCCAAAAGATGATTTCAACGGCCATTGGCCAAGTTTTGGAGGCTGGGGTCTTTGCCAGCAAAGAAACGGGCGAGCTTTTTATCAAAGTGAAGACGATGATTGACTTCACTAAACCTCTCCGATCACAGCTCATGGCACTCTGTGAGGAAACAGGTGAATTTTGGGTTAACTTGAAATATGAACACCTTCCTAGTTTCTGTTTCCATTGCGGCCGGGTGGGGCATCTTCAGTGTGACTGCACTTTCGAGCCACCGGCTAGAAAGGAACGGTATGGGCTTCACATGATAACTAAGAAGCAAGGGCGGAAAATTTATGACCAGGATGAAACTCATCAGCCTTTTAGTGGCACGAGGAAAACGGTATGGGTTAATCAAGAGATTCGGAAGACAGGGGAGAATGCCCGAATGGCGGGGAGAATGCAAGCCCCCCGAACATAGGAAACGCAACGTCGAGCTCAGCAGCCGCAAACCCGGCGCGACAAGGGCGAGATTCTGCCCCGGACCCACACTAATGACAGGGCCCATCTACCCTGGATGCGCCCGAATCCTTCTCCCCGCCGCGGGAAGGGAAGTCCTCGGGGTTTCAAGCTTGCGAAATCCCCTAAGGTCCTCTCGCTCCATGGGCCGCGCGAGAAGGTGGGGCATCAGTCCCAGACCAAGAATTTGCCCGGGATCGCCAGAGAAGAGATGCCGAGGGAGGAAGTCGAACCTGCGGGAACTGAGGCGAGGTGGTCAGTTCACGGTGCCCCTGAGATAGCCGATATCGGCCGCCGGCGGCGGTTGATCCTCCTGGAGGACAGTGATGATGATTTTGTTTTTCAAGGCGAGGTGGCCCGTTCGAAGGCAAGCGACCCAAGCCCAGCACAGGAAGAGCAGTCGACAGATCATGGCAAGAGGCCTGTTGCTGAGGCGGGTGGGCCGCAGGGTCATTATGGGCCTGCAGCTGCGGAGGAACATGGGCTTCAAAGCCAAGTTGGGCTTTCTGAGCAGGGGGAAGGAAGGCCGAGGCCCAGGCAGCGGGCGCCAAACTGAGGAAGGCGGCCTTGGTGGAGGACTTGCAGTTGGGCGGGCTGGTGGGCCAAGCTGGGCCGAATTTGAAACAAGCTAGGCCGAGTTTGAAGCAAGCTGGGGCGGCTCAGCCCACGCGGCGTTCTTCTAAGCCGCGAACCAAGGCCCAGGGAGATACAGTGCTGGCGGGTGATGGTTCTGGGCCAAAGCTGAGCAAAAAAGGCCCAACCCGAAGGCTAAAGAAAGGAGCGGATCCCCCTCCCTCGCTGGTCCCTATTGGGCCGCATTCGAGCATCCAGGGGAAGTTGGACCCTAGCCCTGGCTTGAGTGCTATTTCCCCGCGGGACACTGACGAAGATGATGCTCAATCTTATGAGCTGAAACAAAGGTCGCCAGCTCTTGAGAGAGCAGGAACACGATGCGAGGGAAAGGGGCATGTTCAACAGGTGGTTGCTGCGTTCGAGTCTGGCCTAATTCTGGGTGAACAATCTGCGGCTGGGGACCCAACAAGTGGCCAGGGGGATGGCCTTGCTCTCGGAGTGAGGATTGATGAGTATGGATCCAACTTGCCAGTTCAGCCTATTGAGGGACGCAAAAGGCAAATTGAGGAGGTCGATGGCGAGGTGGGGGAGGTTCCCGCATCTAAGAAGCAATTTGTGGAAGTTTTCGATGAAAAGGTGGAGGAAGCCAGCCTGGAGTGGCCCCAACCAGATAAATGAGGCTTTTGGCCTGGAATGTGAGAGGAATTGGGCCATCCCTCACATTTCAAACTGCTGTCGGTTTAGTTTATTCAAATAAACTGGACCTTGTCTTTTTTTTCAGAGACAAGATCGCGCCGGAGAGTCGTTTCCCGTCGTATGCGGGGTTTAGGTTTTCAATTGTCGAATTGTTTTTTTGTGGATGCTGTTGAGTCGTCAGGTGGTCTTGTAGTTGGCTGGGCCCCCGGAGTTGAGGCTTCGGTTATTTTTCATTTCTGCATTTGTATTCGTGTTAATGAAAGGGATTTTTCCTATGTAGTGGTCTTTGTTTACTTTAGCTGTGTGGATGCTCTTAGATCTAGCCAATTGGCCCAGCTTTGTGATGTTTGTGATTCCTTTGAGGGACCATATGTTATTATGGGAGATTTTAATGTGACTCTCCAGGCGAATGAAAAGGATGGGGGTAATATTTGGAACGCTACCCAAGCGACTGGTCTCCGGAACTTTATTTTTGACCTAGGTCTCCATGACCTTGGATATCAGGGAGATCCGTTCACTTGGACCAATAGACGAATGGGGAATGCCTGCATTCGAGAACGCTTAGATAGAGCGCTTTGCTCTCACTCTTGGGTGTCAAGCTTTCCTGATACCCTTGTTAAGCACTTTACGGACCAGGGGTCTGACCACAGGGCGTTGCTTTTATCGGATAAGCCATACGCACGACGTAGCAGACCTTTTTTATGCTTTGACGCTAGGTGGGCGGATAATTCGGAGGTTAGAGCAATGGTGTCTTATGTTTGGCAGGAGGCTGTCCCTGGTACCCCCATGTTCCAGCTCTGGGAGAAGCTTAAAAAGTTGCGGCATTTGCTGTATGATTGGAGTAGAGCAGGCACTACTAACTCTCTCCGGAATATTCGAACCTTACAAACTGAAATTGATCGCGTCAAATCCGTCTCGCCCATAGATTGGGATTCAGTGCGGGTTATGGAGTCGGAGCTGGGAAGGCAATGGGAGGCGGAGGAAGTGTATTGGCAACAGAAGTCGAGGGTGCGTTGGCTTAAGAAAGGAGATCAAAATTCTTCATATTTCCATACTGTGACTCGAGCCCGTCGCAAGCATAACTTCGTTGCTGGGCTTCGAAATAATGAAGGGGAGTGGATCACTGACGAGGAAGGAAAGTCTGACATTGCTACTGCTTTTTACCAAAGGCTTTTTACTTCTGACTGTCAGGTAGAGAATATGATAGGGCGGGTGGATCAGCTCCCTATTGCTTGTGGGGTCACTGCGACTATGAATGAGAGGCTCACTGCAGAAGTCCTGCCGAAGGAAGTCCGAGACACTGTTTTTGCTATGGGCTCTAAGCAGGCCCCCGGGTCGGATGGGTTCACAGGGAAGTTCTTTAAAACTTTCTGGGATATTGTTGGGGCGTCAGTGATTGACGCGGTTTGCTCGTTCTTTGTAACAAGTAAGATGCTGCGTAGCTTTAATCATACTTGGTTGACCCTGATCCTGAAGGTGGACAATGTGGAGTCTATTCGGCAGCTCCGGCCCATCAGTCTTTGCCAATTCGTTTACAAGATTATTACTAAAATTATGGCTGAAAGATTGGCTACTATTCTTCCAATGTTGGTTACGGAAGGGCAAAATGCTTTCATTCGGGAGTGCCAAATTGTGGACAATGTCCTGTTAGGACATGAGCTAATGCATTATCTGAAAATCAAGTCGCGAGGGAAGAAAGGATACATGGCTCTAAAGGTTGACATGGAAAAGGCCTATGACAGAGTCGAATGGCCCTTTCTGCTCGCAGTGATGACAAAGATGGGCTTTAGCTCAGTATGGTGCGGTTGGGTGCATGAATGCCTCAAATCGACCTCGTTCTCGGTTATGATAAATGGCGCTCCGAAGGGGTATTTTTCGCCATCCCGCGGGCTAAGGCAGGGAGATCCCCTGTCTCCACTCTTGTTCGTCATTTGTACGGAGGGATTTGCTGCCCTGCTAAGGAAAGCTATAGCGGAAAAGAAGTTGCAGGGAGTGAAAGTGGCGCCTCAGGCCCCACGGATCTCTCACCTGTTCTTTGCGGATGATTCTTACCTGTTTCTCCGGGGTACCCTCCAGGAGTGTGAAAATCTGATTACGGTGCTGAATGAATATGAGGAGTTAAGTGGTCAAAGGGTCAATCTAGCCAAATCTGCGGTCTGCTTTAGCAGAAACATAGCGTTAACAGATCAAGAATTCCTAGGGCAGGTGTTAGGGGTGGGGGCTGTAGGTGTCCATGACAAGTACTTAGGACTGCCTACACTTATAGCCCGGTCCAAGGTGGAGACTTTTCGATACTTGGAGGAGAAGTTACTTGCCCGGTTGCAAGGGTGGAAGCAGCGCACTTTATCTTGGGCAGCGAAGGAGACTTTAATCAAAGCGGTAGCCATGGCCCTACCTTTGCATGTGATGTCCTGCTTCAAGCTCCCCCTCTCCCTTTGCTGGCTTCTGGATAGGCATGTTGCCCGTTTTTGGTGGGGGGTGGAGAATGGTCAGGATAAGGTGAGGTGGATGTCTTGGAGGAATATGTGCCGCAGTAAACATGAGGGGGGGATGGGATTTAGGCGTTTTGAACACTTTAATCAAGCGCTGTTGGCCAAAATCGGATGGCGTATCTTAAACGAGCCTGAGTCACTTATTGCTCAAGTGTATAAGGGGAAGTATTTTCCAAGGAGTGGTTTTTTGGAGGCTACAACGCGGTCACGTCCTTCCTGGGGTTGGCAGAGTATTCTGTTTGGGCGGCAACTGTTAAGCCAGGGCCTTAGGTGGCAAATTGGTAATGGCCAATCGGCTCCTCTTCTTCGGAGTAGTTGGATTCCTGGTCTCCATCCGCAGGTTCCTCCTTTTAACCCCTGTGTGTTGCCTCCTAATGAGGAGTTACGGGTTGCTTCTGTTATCAATGGAGAGGAGGGGACTTGGTGTGATGCGGGTTTGGCGCTGTGGTTTGACCCCACCACCTGTCGGCTCATCAAAGAGATTCCCCTGCCTCGTAGTAATGTGGAGGATCGGCTACTTTGGCATGGCACGCAGGATGGTGTGTTCACTGTGAAATCGGCTTACCATCTGGCGGTCCAGTTGGATAGAACGTGTGGCAAGTGGCGATCTACAGCCAATTGGATGGATAGGCCTAGCTGGATTCGTGTCTGGGAGGCCCCAATCCCCCCTAAACTGAGGGTTTTCCTCTGGCAAATCTTAAATAGGCTTCTTCCTACGACTGAGGCCCTGATAGAGAGAAACATTCCAGTACACCCTCGCTGCCCAGTTTGCTGGGCTGAGTCTGAAACTTTGGAGCATCTGTTCCTGGAATGCCCTGTAGTGCGAGCTCTCCGGGATTACGCGGGGTTGGAGTATCTGGGTCAGGGGTTGTCTCGTCACACCTTTCCTTTGTTCCTAAAGCGGTTGTTAAATATCATACAGCAGGAGCACTTGTTTATGGCTGTTACGGCTGTCCTTTGGCGTATTTGGCGGTCTCGGAACTGGGTGGTGTTTGACGGGAAACAGTTTGGGTTCCCTGCTTTGATGAGGCAGTACCACCAGCAATATCAGGAGTGGATTAGCTTGCCAGTTAGTAGGTCTCAGGGAGGCGCGGTTCCCCAGGCAGGAGAAGTGCCCCACTGCCCTTTGAGTTGCTTATGGGATGGGGCGACCAGAGCGACCTCCCATTCGGCAAGAGGTATGGTGGTCCAGGATCACTTAGGGGGAATTTTGATTGCCAGAGGGTTTCAGTTTGCTGGGATTGAGGATCCGTTGGTTGCTGAAGCTCTTGCCCTGCGTGAGGCTATCCTTTGGTGTCGGGACTCTGGGTTGGGGGAGGTGCGCTTTGAGGGGGATGCCAAGGTGCTTATTGAGAAGATTAATCAAGCCAATCCTAGAGACAACAGAGTTGGGGCGCTCCTGGAAGAGATTATAGGAATTTTTGGTTCGATGGGTGGGTTCTCTATACGGTTTGTAGGTCAGCGTAGTAATAGGGCAGCCCATTTGGTGGCTAGAAAGGCTCTTCAATTGTACCCGACTACGAGTCGTTCGTTTAATTTTCTGGCCTGGCTCCAGTCCAGGATGTAACTACCTTTGGTTCTGATCAATATAATGGTTATCTTTTGGAAAAAAAAAAGACGTGACTATGTAACTAGAAAGTAGGAAAATCTTGCTCATAGAACGATTAAAGGCAGGTTAAGTGAGGGTTTCTAGTTGATCGTCCCCTGCAAAACTGTGGTAAATAGATGCCAATTTATTCGCCAAATGCATGAGAAGCCCATTATATTAACCATAAAAAAACATCACGTGCCTTCTTTATATTACGTAAAAGTAAAAAAAAAAAAAACATACATTAAGGTTATTAGGTAACTCTGTGGTTCTTTCATGCTTTTCTGATTTCTCTTCTTGATGAACAAATTTTACTATATAGGTGAATCACACTCGAACTATGAGCCCCCCATATGAGTTAATTTTGGTTTGGGTTCCGTACCAATACACTTGAGTTTTGTAGTCCTACAAAATTCAAATTTTTTTTTTTTACAATGGGAACACTTATATTGCTCATCAAATGAATTCGGTTACATTGAGTGGAGAACATCCAGAGAAACGGAAACAAGAAAGAACAGCAGCAAACAACCGGCGGAGCACGCCAAGACAACAAAGGAAAAGATCGGGACAGAGGAAAGCAAATCATGATCCAACCAGACAAAGACTTTCCTTTCTTGAGCCATAAAACAGAGCATCCAAACCAACTCATTGCTTCCTCATTCATCAGAAAAGCTCAAAGAAACAGCTTCAGCTCGTCCAATACAGGCTTGACCATGGCAATTGAACATTGCAACACATATGCAGCCTCCTGGGAGTTGTTCGAAGACGACCCATCACAGTGAACCACCAAAGAGATTACATGGCGGTGGACAGGACTGTACGAGATTTCTCAGAGCTGAAACAAAGGCAAGGGAGCCGGCAGCAGAGGAAACCATGACAAAATAGAGTAAGATTGCACCAAGGGTTGAGAAGAGCCCACAAAAAACCACAAGAAAAGAGACCACCAACAAGATCCGCACCTGCAGAAACACAAAGCCAAAAGAGACCACCCCAAAACCTAGAAAACAACAAAAAGAAGCAACACCCACCAACACCAACCACCCACAAACACTGAAACAAATCAACCCAAGGTAGAACCCCAAACTCAGAGAGTCATGAACCCCCGCCATGACATTCGGAAGAGACAAAGCAACCCACATCAGATGATTGGCAAGGTTGCAAAAATCATGAAACGCTAGCAACGTCTGAGGGGAAACGATGAATGCGATCACCACTCGGATGATCACGCCAAGAATGGAGGAATCTCCACATCAGAACAAGCAGAAACTCCCCAAAAAGCATCTTCCAAACCCAGAACAGAACAAAGCGGCCAGTTAAAGTGAAATCAGATCTAAACAAGACAGAACATCTCCACCAGGGAGGACAGTGGAAGGAAACCACTTAGGAATCCGAGAGAAAGCCACCAAGGGCGGGAAAAGCCATCAAGGCAGGAAAATTAGATCAGATCTGCAAAAGCCACCCAGGACTTGAGAAACAGAAACAAAATTGGAGGAGCCAGCAATGGAAGGAGAACAAAGAAGTACAAAGAAAAGTTGCAGCAAAAAAAGAAAAGACGATTACAAGTTTGAATTAGGGCCACCGACGGTCACCAAAGTGGTGCCGACGGCAGCCCTGTGGACCGGAAAGTCGAAGGCTAGAGAGAAGCGAGAGGTTTTTGAAAAAGGAGAGAGGAAATTGTGGCGGTTACAAAATTCAATTCAATGGTCCACTCTTGTAGCTGCCCGAATTTGCTACTCAGCTGCTAGATTTGAAGGGGACGCATGCAAATTTCAAAACTTCTAACTCATTCGTTTTATATCGGATTTCAAAAAAAAAAATGCATAGAAATATCAGATATTTTTTGCACTACAAGATGATCATGTCATCATACCACTGTCAAATCACCAAGGTTGTCAACCCATGGGTCGACCCAGGCCCGGTGAGAAAAACGGGCCACACGCACCCGCCGGGTCGACTGCTATAAGGTACCGGGTTGGAGGTCAAATTGTGTCATTTTTTTCTTTGGTTTGCGAAATTCGCCTATTTTTTATTTTTCTTTTCGCCTAACTCAATCTTTGGAATCCTAAGTTGAACGGTGCACACTTTTTTTGGTGCACTCAGTGTACCCAACTCTAAAAGCGTCCATAATACATCAAATTTTGAACTTTAATTAGTACTCTCAATATAATATGATGATATGACATAGAATCATAACAAATCAATCCATTACCCTAACCCCTTAACATTCAATTTTGAATCCCAACCCAAAATCCCAAATTGCAAACCTAAACCCTAACCCTAAATCCCTAAATCCTAAATCCTTCGAATTAAATTAAATTTTGAATGATTTTTTTTTCAAATTCATGTGCTTCTTGTTCATAATATCATAAGCAACAATTGATACCGTTTTGACATGAATCACATGGTCAGAATGACAATTATGAGGCGGGTGCACTGAGTGCACCTGAAAAAGTGGGTGCACCGAATACGGCACCATATATATATATATATATATATATATATATATATATATATATATATGGCGAGTTCTACGGTACCCTGGGTGAAATCTGGGGTACCGCATACCTTGAGTATGAAAACACTATCTAGACCTTGAATTGATCGATCTTTCGGACATGATACTATACTCTAACACTTAAAGATCAAAATCTAGGTGTTAACTCTCCCAATATTATACTCCAAGATCAATTTAATTAGAAATAATAATCGACGGTTATGATTCATCCAAATATAGGCACAAAAAGGAATGCACCATCTTAGGGTTAATAGATTATGATTTAGATAATTATGACCTAGGGTTCACTCATTAAGGGTTATGATATAATATCAGACACAAAAATCCTGGTAATTCGAGGTCTAGATAGAGTTTCCATACTCGAGGTATGCGATACCCCGGATTTCACCCGGGGTACCATAGAGTCCACCATATATATATATATAAGTGTGTGTGAATTTTCACTATATGTTGGATCTATGTAGGACATGTTATTTTGGTGGAATATTATATGTTATAACTCATATGTTAGATCAAATTTGATATAATTTATCAGGATAAGTACAATATAATGACTCTTTTCATATTTTCGGGCTAAACCGGGCTAAAATGGGTAACCCATATTAACCCTTGACCCACTAGCTCGACCGCGTTCGGGTCAGCCCGCGGGTTGACAACCTTGTATATCACTGACAGTGATATGATGTTGCTATGACGTTTATGTTGTACAAAATAATTATGGTATATGATAATATCATGGAATGATACTGATATGATTGATACGACACTAATATGATGTTGGTATGAGGTCTTATGTTTGCCAAAACATGACAAAATGGATATCACTGTGTAGATCAGTAGATCTTAATGAGCGCGTTTATTCTTTACAATTTTTTTTTTCAAATTTTGAGTTGAAATGAAATAGAGGGGTCATAATATCAATGTTATATCATGATGATGTGATTGGTATAACAGTAATATGATGTTGGTATGAAGTCTTATGTTTGACAAAACATATCAAAATAGATATCACTGTGTAGATCTTAATGAATTCGTTCTTTCTATACAAATTTGTTAAATTTTGAGTTGAAATGAAGAAGATGTGTCATCACATATTGTCATATCATGATGATATGATTGATATGACAATGATAAAACTACGACCGATTCGTATTTTGAAGAGTTCTTTTTCCCCCAAAATGAATATCAATGTGTAGATAATAATTAATGTATTCTTTCTATTCGAACATTTTTGAAATTCCGACTGTTAACAGGATTTGATTAAGAAAAACAGGGGATTTGGGAAAATACATTCTCTCCTCTAGACCCGTGTTAGCCTATTGGAAAAAAACCCCTCAAAGGGATGATGAAATTACCCGTCCACCCCTCCTATTTTTGCTAGGAATTATTATGGGCCCTTAGATAGTAGTGAGATGGATGGTGAGAGATTGAATTTTGTAGTGGTTTTTGTAGTATAGGATTTTGTACACTATCCTCACCCGTCAATTATTATTGTTTAAGAATTCTATCATTTTTAATTAAATTCATAAACTTATGACAACAATATTATAACTTCACGCATACACTATATATTATACTAATTTAGTTTACTAGAAAAGAATTTGAATCTAGTATGAGTATGACCATTAATTATTCTTACAACCATTAGATTGTTTGAATAATTATTTTCAAGATAAGATGAAGGACTACTTTTTTATTGAACGAATTTACTTATTATGGTTGTATGAGGCCATTTCATATTCATTCTTCGTGGAGTTGCTGGCTCTTCGTAATGCAATCAGATTATGCTGGTCTTGGATTTTGAAGTTTATGAACTTTGTAAGTGATAAAAAATATGTTGATTGACAAGATCTCTCACTAGATAGTCAGCAAACATTCGAAGTGTGGGTGGGGGGGGGGGATGTGCTCGTGGAAATTCTGCCACTTCGTGGCATGTTTGTTAATTTTAATGTTAGATTCGCTAGAGACCGTAGTAAAATCCTTTCTATGTTCCATTCTTTTGTTGGGTTTGATTCTATTTTTGATTGTTTTTGGCCATGTAACTCATATATTTGGATATATTTCTCAATAATATGAACGATCTTTTGGCACGGGAAACACCATGCTTCTAGAATGAATGAAGACAGATTGGGGTCCAGTGAAGTTTAGCCTTGGCACCACCTCTCCATAGATCTCTCTTTTTGAGTTTGATAGATCCGAAGTATAAGATCAATGAAAGGAAATCAAAAGAGCTGAAGACTTCCTTCCCACGAATCTTGGGTTTGCAATCAGGGGTCTAGTTGTTCGCCTCATGCAAAATGGAGGGAAATAAATGCCAATACTTGCTAATGCATGAGAAGCCCTTTATATTCTCCCTAAGAAAATCATTTGACCTGGTTTAAGCTTGCATAGGGTAAGTTCAATATCCCTAATATAGCATCTAATTAAAAACAAATATATATCACCCTTATATTAAAAATGAAGCCAGCAAGACTCTACCAAGGTACGATGGTTGTGGGTTGTATTTGGAAGGAGTGTGAAGACATGTGGAGTCCATGAACCCCACTTCAAAACTGAACACACATTAAAAGAATAAATTACAAGGTTGGTCACTTGGATTACTAAAATATTTTATGTTTAGTGAGTAAAAATATTTTA